CTCTTCTCTCAATATTTGGGTTAATGCTGTGTCATATACACAACGTGGCACCCACTAGCTATGTGGCCTTGGGCCAGTCACTTACCTTCTGTCCATTCCTCACACTCTCCAGGCAGTTAGATGAGGATTTCTGAGAACCCTAAGATCTAATATTACAGATTATAAACGGGGGTAAAGTGACACTCTCAAAAGCATCTAACAATCACGTAACAAGCCAAGGACCATCTAAACGTTGCATTTCAAGCTTTCAACAGAAGTCCTCACTGTAGATTCCTAAACGTGGAAAGAGTCAGGCTGGTGGGAGCAGAGGACAATGAAAAGAGAGGCCCGATAAGCTACGAATCTGCCTTTCTTCATGGTTCAGGACACATAAGCCTCCTGCACAAATAACTCACGATCATCCTGCGCCCAGCTATCACCAGACCTTCGGCTGTGAGAAGAATGCAAATTAGCTCACTTGAGACCTCGGCGTTATTAGTGCTGCACGTAGCTTTCTCCAACACAATCACCATCCTATAAAACCCCCTTGCAGTCAGCTCCTGTCTTGCCGACTTGCCGGTTGCTGTCTTGCAATGGATTTTCTTACTTTCTCTAATAAATCTGCCTTTCTTTCCCCACAGCTATTCACCACCTGCCTGATACCAGCCCCAGACAGTCATCACCCATGCCACTCATTCACCAACAGTTTGATTTGTTTTATCTTTAACATCCCCGAGAAGTAGTCATTCACCTCCATTTTTCATGTCTGCCAAATGGGGCTAGGGGGCTTTTCCCGGGATTCAGCCCTCCTGACCTCAATGGGTTACCACACTGAGTTTTAGGACAGATAAAATGGAACTCTTGTGTGATTACAGTGTCTGCTGCAGGAAAAGGGCTGATGAAATTGCCTGCTATTACTATCTTTCAGAGGAAGATTTGGAAGCAGAATAGCATTGGCTCTCCAGAGAATCAAAATTAGGACCTTTGGAGAAGGGATCTTGGTCCAAGATTAGCAAGAGGAGGAAGAGAAAAACAGGAAGAGAAAAATAAATGATGTCCAAGTTTCAGGGGAAAGAACAGTAAGACAAGGGGTAGAACGCCTTGTCTCTGAACGCCACGGTACAGATCGGGCAGACACCTTCCCCGCCCTTCAATTACCAGCAGATCATAGGAAGGACAGAAAAAAACAATGAACAGAACAAACTGAGTCACATGCAGTCGCAGTGCCATGGCAGCAGAAGAGGAAAAGCCAGATTCTGCTCAGGGAAATCTTGGGAAACTTTATGAACCAAGCCACTTTCGGACTAGGCCTGAGAGATGGTAGAGTTCTATAGATGAGGTCACAGGAGAAGGAGGAAAAAGGGAGATTCGAATCCAGCGGACAAGTGATGAAGACAAAAACAGAGGCAAATTAAAACTGTGACTTTCGCCGGGCGCGGTGGCTCAAGCCTGTAATCCCAGCACTTTGGGAAGCCGAGGCGGGTGGATCACGAGGTCAAGAGATCGAGGCCATCCTGGTGAAACGCCGTCTCTACAAAAAATACAAAAAAGTAGCTGGGCATGGTGGTGCATGCCTGTAATCCCAGCTACTCGGGAGGCTGAGGCAGGAGAATTGCCTGAACCCGGGAGGCGGAGGTTGCGGTGAGCCGAGATCGCGCCATTGCACTCCAGCCTGGGTAACAAGAGCGAAACTCTGTCTCAAAAAAAAAAAAAAAAACTGTGACTTTTTATCAGACTGAAGGGAGTGGGGGATCCCAGAGACGAGAATGGGGAGGCAAGCTGAGGAACCAGTGCTTGTTGAGGAGTCTCAGCCTCACCTGGAGGCACTGGCGTGACTCGGAAGTTGTGTGTGCAAGAGAACAACTCCTAGTTGTGTGGTGTTTTTTTTTTTTTTTTTTTTTTTTTTGAGACGGAGTTTTGCTCCTGTTGCCCAGGTTGGAGTACAATGACGCGATCTCAGCTCACCGCAACCTCCGCCTCCTGGGTTCAAGCGATTCTCCTGCCTCAGCCTCCCACGTAGCTGGGACTACAGGCATGTATACCCAGCTAATTTTGTATTTTTAGTAGAGATGGGGTTTCTCCGTGTTGGTCAGGCTGGTCTTGAACTCTCGACCTCAGGTGATCCACCCCACCTTGGCCTCTTAAAGTGCTGGGATTACGAATGTGAACCACCATACCCAGCCCTAGCTGTGTTTTGATGACTCTGGAAGCAGTGAAGGTGCTGTAATCAGAAGAGGAGATTGAGCCATGAAGTCTTGGTAAGAAGTTCTTTATAACAGGCCAAGTTTACAACATTGAAGGCTCCATCAGGGGCAGGGCAGTGACACTGGAAATTGTGGAACTGTTTGGGATATTACCAGAGTTAGAGATCCAGGTTTCTGGAAGGGATTGAGGACATTAAGCAACAAACGGACAGCACTTTGACATTTCCCACTAGCTCAAGAACCTGTAGTGATTCCCAGTCCAACTCACTGGATTCCCAGCAGAAAATGGAGAGGAAGCACTTCTGATCACCACTGGTCATTCCACGGCATCTGCCTTCCAACCTCATTCAGGCGTGGTGGCAGTCAAGCTCTGGCTCCCAGCATATGTGAGTCCCGGCGGAGTCCCGCACTGGTGTTTCCTTATGGAACCCCACTCCCCTCCATTCCTTAAGACCCCTCATTTTCCTCAAAACCCACCTGGGAGTCACCTCTAGAAAACTCTGCTCCTTCAGGGGCTGCCTCAACTACAGCCCCCAAATGACCATTGCCAACTGGACAAGCCCCCTGAACTGTGGCGCCCTGTCCCCTCCTCACCACTGAAGACTAGCAGTACAGAATTGGCCATGCTGCCCAAAGGGGCTGCGTCTGGGCTTCCCCACCTGGCAGAAGTGATGGCTCGCTGAATCTCTCTCCAGCTGATGACAAGAAGACAGAACTCGGCGTCTGTGAGCTGCAAAGACTCCTGACTCCCCAAGTCCTTGGGTCTCCCTCTGCGCCCCACCCATTCTGCAAGGAGTCAGCGGTGGCATGTTCTAAGATGCCAACCTGTCACTGAAGCTCCCATTCCACCTTGCTGACACCCGACTGCCTGGGACTCACAGGTCCAGGATGACCCGCCATCCCCGGTGTCTACCAAAAAAGTGAAGCCTCCTAGATTTCTTAGCCTAGGAGAGAAGAAGATATGCAGCAATGCAGAGAAGATAAATACTGCAGATTAGATAACTGGACAAAAACGCTTGAAATTACTCAATGGCACAGCTATCTTTTAATTACCTTGGAACGGGAGATAAGAGTAATGGAAAGCTACAGATAATCCATTAGTTTCCAAAAACCTTTCACATCCAATGTGCCATTTGAAGATGCTTTCGAGACACAGAAGAGGCTAGTGAAGGGCTTTCAGGAAGGAAGTAAAATCCAAAGAACAGGAATAACACAGTTTGCTCCCCATAGATGCTAACTTCGGCACAATACTGTTATTAACCACAACTCTACGTGCTCTTTCCCATTAATGGAATTGTTAAATCTTTTCCAAGTGTGACAAGTGGCCTCTGATCACTCCCTAGGGATTTTCTGTTCTTTAGCCACTTACCAGTCACAATAAATTTTTCTGCAGCTCCATTTAAAACGTTATTCTCTGGGGGGTAGTCTAGTTTACTTTGAATAGCCTGTAACAAATATCCCCAATCAAGAGCGGAAAGGCTTGCTCCAACCCACTCTAACAGGCAGAGAACTCTGCCCAGCCCAGGTATTAAATAACTTCATGACTACAGAACAGTGGAGACGGGCAAGCTCCTAATGTAATTTGGCTCTCTTACTTTTACAGATGAGAAGAATGAGTTCCAGGAAGGGAAAGGGACATGTCCAGGGTCACATGAACTAATGAGTGGGAAGAACCTACACCAGGTTTGGGTCCCTTAAATCCTGAAGCCATATCTAATTTTAAATAGACCATTTTCTTTCCATTTTCTGGTTCTTTCTAAAACAGCCTGCAGGTGTATGAGATGTGCCACCCAGTCCCCCTTGAAAGAAAGCCTTGGGGCCCGGCTGTGGGAAGCAGGGTCAGCACAGAGCTGCCAGCTCTCAGCTCCTTCTGGATCTGCCTCAACTAGAGAGGCCTCTTGAGACCTTGATCACCTCAGAGTCACCACTTGAGACCTCAATCATGTAGGGGTCACCACCTGAGACGTGGATCACCACCTGTGGTCTGTCCTGCAGACCCTGAGTCAATGACGGATGGATGAATGCACTCTCACACCCAGTACAATGATTTCAAGAGGGCTAAGGATAGTCATCAACTGCTTTCAGAGGGCGATTACAGCTCACCAACCATGCCTCCCTGTACCTCCTCACATGCATTCAGTATAGATTTAATAATAGAGACTCTAAGTCAACATGCTTTCATATAATTAACATGGTTAAAAGAGTGGTTTTATGAATGATAAAAGGTCTTGATCCCAGGGCCCAGAGCAAACACCACTAACAGGTAATTCCCCTTCGACCTCCCCGAGAGGACCATCCAGCACAAAGTTTACATGAGTAAACAGAGTAGAGACAAAGGGACGTGGCATAAGCAGACTGAACTGGAAAGCTTTATTGTCCCTAATCTCTTACCCTATGACTTAAAATTCTAACCTAATTAACTGGCTGCCTTCGGCCTGTTCCATTAAAACTTTTCCACCTTCCAAAAAGCTGGAGACTATAATCTTCTAACTTTCCCTAGTATTTCCCTAATATTTTGCAGCCACCCCAAGTGAATCCCAGCAGTCTGAGCTGCTCTCCAGTGCATGCTTCCTGGACACCCAGCACCGAGTGACTGAGGCAGGTGGGGTACAAAGGTCTGGCCATTTCTGCCCAGGAAGGGCTACAGTGATGCCCAATGTTCACTGCAGGGGTCCCCAGTCCCACTCTCTCCAGAATGTGGTCTTCCTCCCTCCCCAACCAGTGATACAGCAGGAGAGGGAAGTGAGACACCTGGGATGCCTAGACCATCTCCTTGCAGGCCTCTGCCCAGCAACCCCAAACCCATAACCCAGATACCTTTAGTTCATGTGGAATGGGCCAGGTTCCAGGAGCCAGCCGAGCAGTATGTGCACATAGATGCCATCGTCCCTTCTCCTGGGGAAGCTGTGGGTCGCTCATATCCTTGTGGCTCTGACAGCATTTGTTGGTTTCACTCAAAGAGGTAGAAAGTTTAAAAAATAAGGCATGATTTTGCAGAAAAGCACAAGATACTTGGGTTCCCGTTATTTGACCATCTGTGGGTGAAGTGACCCTCTGTACAGTACCCTGGTTCGTGCCTGCCACCCCGGGGTAATTATTAATAGTGCTGTCTTTCACCCTAAAAGGCCTCAACTGTGGTCATGCCATGCAAAAGTCATGGTACCTCAGAGCAAATCTATCTGGCTGTCTATCCTCTCCAGTCTTGGATATTCTGAGAGAGAGAGGAAGAAGGTGTTCTGAGTGGTGAGTGAAAAGAACGTGCTTCCAGGACCAAGCTGGGTTTGAATGACCTCCGGACCAGGCACAGAGACTTTGGATGCATCTCCCAGCCTCTTATTGCTTTATCTGAAAAAGGAAGTACTTAAACACACCTAGCCCTCACGCATGGTTATTGAGAACACCAAGTCAAATACTGGATGTGAAGTTCGTCTGAAAACCGTGAAGCCCTATTCAGATGTAAGTGTGGCCAAAATGCCTAACTATAAGTATTGGCTAAATGAATGAATGCTTGACTCATTGAATGGATGGAACAGGGGGAATGTTATCATTATTATCAATATGTGACAATAATAAAATGACAACCAGGTTTTTTTCTTTCCCAAGTCAATGGGTCTCCCGTCAAGAGGTAAGGTCTAATCCCCTAGCCTTGTATATGAGCTAGACTGAGGGACACATTTCTAAGGAAGAGAACAGAACACAGCTCAAGTGACACTGTGGATGTTCCAAGGCTAGACTATGAAAGGTCCTTTGGCCTGGCTCTCTCGGGGCACCTGCTCTTCAGTCCTCACTGCCATGTTGTGAAGAAACCCAGGCGACCTTGGAGAGGCTGAGTGTATGTGTTCCACTCCTCGGCCCCAGTGGAAGTCCCAGCAAGCAGGTTTAACAGACAGCCTTTGAGGTGACTGCAGTACCCATCAATGTCCTATTGCAACCTCACAAGAGATCCCCAGTGAGAACCACTTCCTGAGCCCAGTCAACAATAAAGGATTGTTTTGTGTTTAAAAAAAAGTCAATGGGAATGTGTCCTGAAAACAAGATGCATCTCTTGGAGCAAACTGCCTCCCAAGGATGTGAGAAAGGTCACGGTAGGTATGACTCTCTGCCTATGCAGCTGGAAACGTACCACCCTGACAGCGGCCTCTGGGGTACACCACCCAAAGCACTCCGTTCTCTTTAATAGCCAATTATAACTGTCATCTCCGCAAGTATCTTAATCTTTGAAATTACTTTTGCAGGCACTACCACCTCTTAGGGATAATGATTCCATAAGCTTCTTCCCTACGAAACTCCTCCAGAATTTGAAACAATACGTGCATGTCCACTGTATCCGCTGTACTTACCATTTTAGAGATTATGATCATGTTCACTCTTCAGCTTCCTGGGATTTTTCATCACAACCCTTAATGGCCAGCCAGTGTGGCTCCTAAAGCGTTCAAGACCTGGGGAGTCAATGCAAACTTCCAATGAAACAGAGCTTAACTAAATAGCTTATTTGTTCATAGTTCTATAGTTTTAATAGGCTTTGAAAACAGCATGTGGGTTTTAATTTGTGTTAATGAATGTAGTCCCTACTGAAGTCCTTGCAAATAAATGCACAGTGATCTGAACTGAATGTTAAGATTTGTATGTATGGTTTTTATTACATGTTAAAAGCGTTATTTTGTTTGTTTGTTTTGAGACAAAGTCTTGCTCTATCACCAGGCTGGAGTGCAGTGGCATGATCTTGGCTCACTGCAACCTCCAACTCCCTGGCTCAAGCCACTCTCCTGCCTCAGTCTCCCGATAGCTGGGATTACAGCTACCTGCCACCACACCCAGCTAATTTTTGGATTTTTTAAAAATTATTATACTTTAAGTCCTGGGGTATATGTGCAGAATATGCAAGTTTGTTACATAGGTATACAAGCGCCATGGTGGTTGGCTACATCCATCACTCTGTCATCTACATTAGGTATTTCTCCTAATACTATCCCTCCCGCTCGCCCCTTCCTCCCGACAGACCCTGGTGTGTGATGTCCCCCTCCCTGTAATTTGTGTATTTTTAGTAAGACGGGGTTTCACCATGTTGGCCAGGATGGTCTTGATCTCCTGACATGATCCGCCCACTTTGGCCTCCCAAAGTGCTGGGATTACAGGCATGAGCCACCACGCCCAGACCAAAAGCTATATTTTTTCCTTGGGAATAAAGCTCCACAATCCTAGAAAAAGAAAAAAAAAAATACAGCCAAGAAGATGTTTGCATGCCTCATGCCACCCTGCTCAAAACCCTCCAGACTCACTGCTTCTCGCCTGCAGGATAGAGTCCATGTCACTCAAACTGATGGGCGGCCATCACAGTCCTCCAGCCTGATCCCTCTCTACCCAGCAAAGCGTCAGCCATGGTCAATCTGATTTTCTCACTGACTGCCACTCCTGTATTGCCTCTCGCTGCTGTGCCTGTTTGCCAATCCTGCCTCCCATGTCGGGAGTGCCTGTCTATCCTCACCCATAGTTCCCAATTCCCTATGTAAGTTCTAAGGCTTTGCGAAGATTGATGTATTATGCCTTTTCTTCTTAGAGGTCTTTCAAAGAACAAAGAGAGAATTTACATATTTTTTACTAAATAAAACGTATTTTACTTTGCAATTACCATATGGGACCCTGGCATCATTTTTATCAAGAGCAATGTGAATAAGACCCATGACAGAATCCAGGTAATCTTTTTCTTATATCTTAAGACACTTTACTATTTCATTATCCTGAAAATTATTGTTATTCGATTACTATTATCCTGATAATTCCACCATTCTCCCATTTCAAAATTATTTTCAGCTGGGCATGGTGGTTCACACCCGTAATCCCAACACTTTGGAAGGCTGAGGCAGGCAGATCACGAGGTTAGAAGTTCAAGACCAGCCTGCCCAACATGGTGAAACTCTGTCTCTACTAGAGATACAAAAATTAGCTAGGCATGGTGGCAAGTACCTGTAATCCCAGCTACTTGGGAGGCTAAGGCAGGAGAATTGCTTGAACTGGGACCCGGGAGGCAGAGGTTGCAGTGAGCCAAGATCGTGCCACTGCACTCCAGCCTCGGCTACTGAGTGAGACTCCGTCTTAAAAAACAAAAATTATTTTCATCATTTTTGGCATGGTTGGGAACAACTGATAAGTGACCCAACTGTTAAGTAACAATTGTTCCCAACCATGCCAAAAACGATGCAAATGATTTTGAAGTGGAAGAACCATGGCATTGCCCAGAAGGATGCAATAGTGAGGCAGCTCATCAGCCTTCCTTTTTTAAAACAATTTTTAATTGTTTTTTAAATTTTTTGTGAGTACCTACTAAGTGTATATATTTATGAGGCACACGAGATGTTTTGATACAGGCATGCAGTGTGAAATAGGCACAGCCTGAAGGATGGGTCATCCATTCATGCAAGCATGTATCCTTTGAGTTACAAATAATCCAATTGCATTCTGTATTTTAAAATATGTAATTAAGTTATTATTGACTATAGTCAGCCTATTGTGCTATCAAATAATAGGACTTACTTGTTCTTTGGAGCTTTTTTGTACCCACGAACCATCCCCACGTCCCTAACTGCCCTTCCAGCCTCTGGTAAACGTCCTTCTACTCTCTGTGAGTCAGTTGATTTGATTTTTAGGTCCCACAAATAAGTGAGAATATTCGATGTTTGTCTTTCTGTGCCTGGCTTATTTCACTTAACATAATGATCTCCAGATTTTTTTTTTTTTTTTTTTTTTTTTTTTTTTTTTTTTTTTTGAGATGGAGTCTTGTTCTGTCTCTTAAGCTAGAGTGCAGTGGAGTGATCTCAACTGATTGCAGCCTCCATCTCCCGGGTTCAAGCAATTCTCCTGCCTCAGCCTCCTGAGTAGCTGGGATTCCGGCATGCACCACCACACCTGGCTATCTTTTGTATTTTTAGTAGAGACAGGGTTTCACCACGTTGGTCAGGCTGGTCTTAAACTCCCGACCTCGTGATCCGCCCACCTCAGCCTCCCAAAGCGCTGGGATTACAGGCATGAGCCAACGCACCCAGGCTCCAAGTTGTTGATCTACGTTGTTGCAAATGACTGGGTCTCCTTCTTTGAATGGCTGCACAGTACTCCATTGTCCACGCGTACCACATTTTCTTTACGCATTCATCTGCTGATGGACACAGTTTGCTTCCAAATCTTAGCTATCGTAAACTTAGCATCCAAACTTAGCTATCGTAAATGGTGCTGGAACAAACACAGGAGTGCGGACACCTCTCTGATATACTGAGTTCCCATCTTTTGGATTTTATACCCAGCAGTGGGATTGCTGGACCATCTGGTAACTCAATTTTTAGTTTTATTGAGGAATCTCCAAACTGTTCTTTTCATTTTCTTATTACCCAAAGAATGACACCATCTCTCAAGAAGGTACAAAAGACAGCAGGAGACACCATCTTTGTAGGGTGCTTTTTGTCTTCATTGAACGCACTTGACAAGTCAGAATGTTTCATTTTCCACCCATAAAGGCAAAGAAAATAAAATGGACAGAAAAAGACATTTCAAATTATTAGATGAACCAGAAAATGAAATGAAAAGGGACAGAGTGACACTCTAGACACTAATAATGACGGTAAAATATATCCTTAAAGTGAGAGCTCAGGCTAGCAGGCCTCAGATGACACCATCCTAAGTAAGTGTCCTCAAACTTAAGAATCAATGCGTGAACAGCGCATTTTTTTAAATTGTACTTTACGTTCAGGGGTACATGTACAGATCATGCAGGATTGTTGCATAGGTACATACATGGCAAGGTGGTTTTTTAAGAACAAAAAGGAAATACAGCATTTTCGCCCTGTTAATCAACAGAAAAGACTTCATCACGCAATAATTTGTGACAAGAGCCTGGATCATCTTCTTTTGTTAAAAGGATATGTGGCCGGGCGCAGTGGCTCACGCCAGTAATCCCAGCACTTTGAGAGGCCGAGGAAAGTGGATCGCCTGACGTCAGGAGTTTGAGACCAGCTTGACTAACATGGTGAAACCGTCTCTACTACACACACACACACACACACACACACACACACACACACACACACAAAATAGTCAGGCATGGTGGCACATGTCTGTAGTCCCAGCTACTTGGAAGGCTGAGGCAGAAGAATCACTTGAACCTAGGAGGCGGAGGTTGCTGTGAGCCAAGACTGCGCCATTGCACTCCAGCCTGGGTGACAAGAGTGAAAACTCCATTTCAGAAAAAAAAAAAAAAGGACACGTGATGGCAGTGTTTCATTTTTAATTTTGTTTGTGGCTTACAATTTACCCAATGCAAGGAGGTCGGCTACGTATACATTCTCATTAAAACTTTCAGTAAAGCTGTTTTCACTATACTTTTATTCTCACTTTTGTAAAGTATTCACAGGATGAGTTACAATATGAAAGTAAATAAATAATCCACCGGACATGGATGGTAACTGGCGACAACCCTTCATCCTGGCACCTGAGAACGGAGGTCTGGGCAGAGTCCTGTCTACCTCCTAAAACTTTCTCTGGCTGTTCCAGTCTGCCCAGAACTTTCTCTTCCCTGAATTACTATTCCAAGAACTTTCACCAAAACTGTCTGGAGGTGAATGCAGGTTAGTTCTTGCTTGGTTTCTTATCTAGCCCAAATCATAAAGTTATTTGAGGCAAAGACACTCATCCAACATTCAAATGCTGTGACGGGGACCACGGCTGGCCATGGAGACACAACAGTAGTTTGTACCCTCATCCCTGCCCTCATGGCATTTACCCAGGACCTCGGCTGTACCCAGTGTCTCGGCTGTGGCGGCACCAAATGTGAGTGCAGTGGAAGGGCTCAGAGCTTTAGTGTAGACACGCCTGGGTCTGAATTCCACCATCACCACCTCCCATCTGTGGGACCTTCGGAAAAGTCTTCACCTCTCTGAACCACGTTCTCTTTTAGCTGAGAAGTCAAGACCCTATTTCCTTTCTTGAAGAGATGAGTATTAATTTGCTAGGACTGCCATAGCAGAATGCTAGACCGAGTGGCTTAAACAACTGCTGTTTCTTTTCTCACCATTTGGGAGGCGGGAAATCCAAGATCAAGATGGCAGCAGGTTTGGGTGCTCCTGTGGTCTCTCTGCTGGGCTTGCAGACAGCCCCCTTCCTGCTGTGTCCTCATGCCTGTCCTCTGTGTGTGTCTCTTTCTCTTCTAATTTCATACCACCAGTCATAATGGACTAGGGTGCACCTATATGACTGTTTTTTACCTTAACGGCCTCTTCAAAGGCCCTAACTTCAAACACGGTCACACTAGGGATTGGGGCTTCGATATACGAATTTAAGGGAGACAGAATTCAGTCCATAACAGAGTGTTACGAAGATTAAAATGTACTTTTTTAAAGAGACAGTCTCACTCTGTCACCTGGGCTGGAGTGCAATCACATCTCACT